TATAAATAATTAAAAGTTTGTGTGGATATGTATGTGTATATATATTCCCTAACACATATATGTCTTTAGTTGGCAGTATAGTGTTAATGTAAAATATTTGTAGCTAAGATTTTTAGTACTTTTGTTTTCTTAGATTACATTTTGTAGAAGTCTGTATAGCTAAAGTAAAACTTTAGTTGTAACAATGGACTATGTGTACTCAAAAGCTTTTTCCTCAAATACGAATCAGTGTTACCGAGAAAGTTACTGTTAAATGAAAATGCCTTTTGTATTAATGATCTGTTGAATTTCCAAGCTGGAATGTACAAAGAAAAAGAAATTCCAGAACCCAGCATTGCTTTGGCCTTTTCATACAGTTATGTTCTTTGTCCCGCAGTTGTATGTATTAGGCTAGTATATTTCAAATAGATATATCTTCAAATGTAAAGAAACATTAATAATTTCTATAAAAGGAGGAGATTTAAGTTAAGTTTTGTTGGGCAAATATAATCTTTGGTATTTTCTGGGTTGAATTATTGATCAAAACTAGTTAATAACGTGCTAAAAGATTTTAAGTATTTGATTTACTAGGTTTACTTTTCTAAGAAAACAAAGAGCATGACTTAACCAAAGGAAAAAAGAAAGTAAATTATGTGAATTACCTACTTATTCCAGTAGTTTCAAAGTAAACATTTTCTGGTTCAAACTTCGTGTTCACTGGGGACCTCTAGCAATTTATTTTGAATTCAGTGGAATTATATTGTCATGATGATTTCTTCAGTTGCACATATAGTACATCTTCATTTTAAGAATAAAAAAAAATGCTGAGTAATTACAGATGAGAACAATCTTTTCTGTGCTGTAGACAGCTGAAAGTAACTTGAAGATGTTGAAATGACATCGAACTTTTAATACTACTAGGGAACTATGTGCTTATTGACCTATTTTTAATGAGACTTTTTATTTCATGCCTCTTTGAATATATGCATTTCTCACATAAAATAATCATAGTAGGTGTTGTGACCGTTGAGTCTCTTGAGGCAGTTAGCATGTGATATTCTGAATTTCAGCTGTCTTCTTGCATTGTGTTCCTGACTATGTGGACCTGCATCTTTTTTCTAATTGCTATCCAGCAATATATGTTAACTGCTACCTGGCAAGATAGAAGTGTTCCATCATAGTCGAGCTAGGCGCCCACTCTTTATGAATAAGTGACTGTAATTTGCAAGACTGATACTTTTTTTTTAAATGCTCGCAACTTGTGATGGATTGCACTGACCCAGCTGTGCAAAGCATAGGGTAAGAAAATAAGGAAGTAGAAGGATGCAGAGTTGCTTATGATGTCTGAGGTGATACAAATAGGAGGAGTATCAAATGTATCAGTAGGTTGTTTGTATCATACTAGAAGAAATCGGTGCATGTTTGTTCATGTATGATTTGGTTTTAATTAGGAGCCGAAGCTTAAAGAACAAATTAAAAAAGTAGCTAGCATGGCTTCACTTACAGCAGTTTGTGAGATAATGGATCAGAAACCTGAAGTGCACCTTGAATCTCTACCTTCTGTGGATGCTCTAAAGAGATTTATTTCCATTTCTCAAGTTAACGAAGTATTAAAGAAGCCATCTTCTATTGAAGAAAAAAGTAGGTATGTCTGTGCTATAGCTTCAGTAATTCTCCAGAATAAATTGGATTAGCGTGGACCACTGATTAAGATGCTGGCTTTTCCTCTTCTTTTCTTTGATAACTTTTTGCCGAGATAAAAATGAAGAATTCTGAACACAGACTGTTCATTCGGTTGCTCTTTTGTCTTAACATTTGGGTTTTAGAGCATTAAAGCAGCCATAATTGATCAGACCAAAGGTTCTTTTGCTCAGTCCTCTAGTGCTGTGAAGCCAGAGCTAGCTTTGAACATTGCTTATCGTTATGCCAACTTAAATGTATATATGCACTGCACAAAGCCATAGCATGTACGTAAGCCAGTTTAAATGGAAATTATTCACTGTTGGGGAAAGGAAGCCCAGAGCAAGCCTGAGGGCCAAAAACCAAATACTTGGTTAAGAAAAAAAGATGGCCAGCATATAGTGATATTTCTACTGAATACTCTCCTAGATATTCATGACTAATGAGGCTGCCTGAGCCCAGAACTGATTTTTCTGTGTTTAAAAAACTTTATTTGTAGATTTTTCTTCCATGAACTTATCCAGTCTCCCCTTGAGCCTGTGTAAATTTTAGCATCTTGAAGAAGTATAGTGAGTTTGTACAGTTAAGCTGTTCCTGGTGGAGTAGGGATGTGCAGGATAAATTAATACAATATGTATTTAAGAATAATATTCTCCTTACAGCTTATGTGAAGAAACAACATCTCAAGGATGGGGGAAAATAGTTGCACGCTATGTTCGTGACCAGTGGATTTGCCTTCGTTTCATTTTAAAATCATTTCCAACACTGGCTCAAGAGTATGAAGAGACTTCAGAAATGTCATTATCTACAGTTGAAAGGGCAAGAAAAATGCTAGAGTCTGCATTAGAAGCCCTAACTATTCTTCCTTCAGACCAAGTTTTACCTGTGTTCGACTGCATGAAAGTCCTTGTTCCCAAGGTAAAAGATAAACCAACTTCATGATACTAATAGTTTGGGACGTGATTTTGTCAAACGTAACACTTCTTTCATCTCTTTGTTCTCAGCTTCTGGACTCAGCAGAGACTCTCTGCATAGAAGCGTTTGATTTGGCTTGGAAAATTGTATCCTCTTTGAGCAACACACAGCTAATATTTTGGTCCAATCTAAAAGCATTTGTTCAGTTCGTCTTTGATACTGAGGTTCTGGCTGTTGCTGCAAGTGCAAAGGGTGAAGCATATGCCAGAATAAAAGAGGTCAGTTTAAGAATTCTTCTTTGTGAAGTGAGCATAAATTTTATCTAGAAATGTGTTTTACTTTTTATTTTTCCTTCAGCTATTGTCGTGAATTTTTCATTTCCAAAAAGGTACTAGTTTGAGAGTCCTAAGACAAAAGATCCAAAAATTAGATTGAGGATAAACAAATATACTGCTTGTTCTTGTAACACAGAAAATGAAAAGTACTATTTCTTTGTTTTTCAGACTGTTCAGTATCTTCCGCACTAAGCAAAATGGGTTTTTTTGGTCTTTATTTTATTTGTACATTATACACTTCCTCTTGAAGATTTTGTCCAGGATTTGCATCCGAACTGTCACAAACTATTAATGACCTGGAAAAATTATGTCTTTTTCTAATAGTTTAGTTTTTATGGAAATACTCTCTTAAATGAAAAATTAGAACCATTCAAAACTCTAATAGATGCTATTGAATAAGCCAGCTTTAACTGCTTCTTTAAAGGCTTTTTTTTTCTGAGAGTCCAGACATAGAAAACATAAATTGAACTCTAACGTGACTGTGATTTTTTTAATACTGCGTGATAGACCTTCCTCCATAGTTAAGAAGAAAAAAAATTAATTTTTATTCTTTTTTTGGTTTTTTTTGTAAGGTGTATGCAGCTTTCTGTACTCCAAAAGCTCTTGCATACGTCGTGGTGTTCTTTCATGTTGAGTCAATAAAACTGTGTTCAGTACTGGAATGTTGATTCATCTTGGCTTTATACACTGGAAAATTGTTTACTATTTCTTTTCTAAATAATCTTTCTTGGGTTTTTTTGCCTTTTTTCCCCTCTGAGCATCAATTAAATGTGCAGAACAGTCTACAATGACTGCAAGACTTCTACCAGAGCAATAATAGATTATATATTAGTTACCAGTACATATATATGCTTAGACTTACGGTCTCATACGCTGCTTTGCACTTAGCACAGCAATCACACTAGGAGGGGTTGCAGTTTTACTTTGAAGTCACCATACGTAGCTTTATCCTGGTGTCACACTTGTAGCTGTAAATAATAGCGAATATCTTAGCTTTATTTTCAGCCCAGATGCTCCCAAAATGATTTTTAATAAAAGTATAGAAAAATGCACACTTCCTAGCTATTGAAAATTGCTGAGAAATCTCCGTATTAGCCTTAAGTATCTTAAAATATTGTCCCACTTATTTTCTTTTTGTCCTTCTTGAAAACTTGCTTCAAATGAGTGTTACTGGCATCTATTTTAGTCAGTAGATAACACTTTGCATTTGTAGTCTTCATGTGGACCCAAGCCAAAATAAGGTACGTCTGCAAAGATGGTAAAATATCTCTTCAGTTCTAGGAATCTGTTAGCTTTTTCTTTTAATGAATATCTCTAATAGTTATGTTTGTATGCTCAGGGTTGTAGTAACTGATGAGCTGTAGTTACTTTTCTTTGATCTTAAAATTTGTTTAAATTCTTAGAATTACTGTCTTAACTTAGGCATTAGTGTTTCAAGCGTCATGTAAGGTGTATTTTGTTAGAATTACTGTCTTAACTTGAGCATTAGTGTTTCAAGCATGATGTAAGGTGTATTTTGCCAATGTTGAGAGTCTGGAGTCTGTGTGACAGCTATCCCATTGTCCGCAGTGAGACATACCATGACAGCAGTCATCAAGGAGCTAATGAAGGTCTCCTGTACTCACCAAAGGGCATCTGGTCGAGCCACCTTCTGCCCCTTCATAAGAAAATGAAGATAAAGTTCCCAAGCAAGTGTCTACTTACGTATATTCCTATCCCAGTCCTCGGCAGTCTCTGGTGCCATTGACCCCTTGTGCAATGGCTATGTAGTTTTAGCTAAAGAGAAAGAAAAAATGGAACTGCCTGATACTGATTTGTCACAGAAGCATAATTTCAATTTTGTCTACCACAGTGCACTCTGTATTTTTACTAATAGTTAGAAGGGATGGAACAAAGGGGAGTTTTTGAGCCAAAAAAGGGAATATTGCTATGGTAAAATCCAGAAGGGCTTCCACAGAGGTGCCCGGAGCACTGTGTTCTTAGGCTTCATTTCTTCTGCTGCACTTTTTCTTTTCCTTTGTGATTATTCAAATGCTTATTGTACTAGAACTTATATTTCTTATTTCTTTTGTGTGTGCTGGACTTTTACTATGTTAATGAAACAATTGAAAAACATTCCGGGATTGAGAAAAGCATAGTAAATGTCATGCTGCTTCCCTGTGGGTGAAACACAATAATTCAGTTTTGGAACTACTAGGAAAATTACAACAATGCCTGTCCTTGCACTAAAAGAAAAGTTTGATTCTTTGTGAAAAGACCAAATGTTTCTAGGGTGGGGTTTTTATTTCCAGAAAGTGTTTCTTCAGAGTGTATTCTAGTATTTCAATTTAAGCTCTTTGTGAGCCTCTTGGTGCTTTAATCCTTAGCAATTCAGAACAACTTTCTCTATAAAAACTGTTAAAAGTTACTGTCAAAGAATTGTCACAGTATCAAAAGTATCACTTCAGAGCAGCGAAGAGAAGCAGCTTTGTCTTGTGAGAGCTGTCACACCTTCTAGAAAACCATCCTTGTGAACATCTCTAACTGATGTTGTCTAAAAAGGAATTTATAAAAACCCACCTCTTCATTCTGAATCTCCTTGTCCTTTCCCAAATGCTTGCAATGTCTTAGAAAAAAATTTGCTTTGTAACTGAAGTCTGCTCTTGCACTTAACCTAATGGAGGGAGTAGGAAAGGAAAATTTTGGGACCATCTTTCTAAATTGGTACGGATTGATTAAAAACACCAGGTTTGTACTCATGAAGTAAACCCAAGTGCATTTGTTCCAGTAATCAGCAGATTTGTGTAAAGCATCTGGTGTTTTATATCTGTTTAAGCAAAGATTAGTTCTATCTTTTGTTAACATAAGCATGTACTGGGCCAGTTGTTGCCCATTCACCCACCCTTACAATCAGGGAATTTTAAATAGATTGAAGACAGCATTAATCTGAGCAGAGGTAGGATGCAGAAGATCAGACCTGCTAAAATAGATGTCACTGCCATATTATTCTGGTAATTCTAGCACTTCTGAAAACTAGATTTGGAATCTTTTATTTTCTTCTTCTTTTCAGATAATTTTCAAGCTCATAGATATGTCCACTACAAAGACTGGAGTCTTCAATGTAGTCCTTAGTCATTGTTGTCGATCTTGGATATTTCCCACTGTTGATGAGAGAAGTGCCTTGATAAATGCTTTCTTAAATGCTGGAAATTATTGTGAACTTATCACTGAGGCTTGTGTCTTTGGAAGTGTATTTAGGAGAGATCAAAGGTATAAAAAAAATTTTTGTGATTATATTTGTTATAATTTTGTGCGCTTTATTTTCTTTTAAACTTTGAGATTTTGTATGCTATTCTGCTAATTTTGTTGCTTTGTCTTCTTTCATCTGTGAAGACTTATTCAGGATGTGCATGCCTTCGTAGAAAATCTTGGAGAAAAATGTGCAGCAAATGTTGTTACAGAAAGGTAATGATTTTGAGGATACATCTTATAAATTTGGTGTGAATTGTGTCTTCATTATGATTGATGCTACAATAGGAAAGATGCTGTTTTTGAAGTCAGCTTCTTATAGAATATCTTGAGTTGGAAGGGACCATAAGGACTTTATTCATAACCTTTTTAAGTATTGCTAAAAGGGATATACATCACGTTATATTCATAATTCAAATACAAAATATAGAAAATTGCTGAGTATTTTCAGGGAAATATATCCCGCTTGTTAACCTGAGTGGGGTTGAAATAACTACTTCCTCATTGCTTCACCTCATAAAAGTAATACTTTTTAGGATGCAGGGCTGATATGTACCTTATCATTGTAGGCAAGACAGTTAAGAAGCTCAGGCTTTAATGCAGCTAGATTTGGAGCTGGACTTTTTCACAGTGGTTGTAGGCCATTTTAGCTTCCATACTGGCAATAGGTTCTGCCTCCAGTTTTTGAAACAGGGATGTTGGCTACTGGATTATTGAACTTTTTTTTGTAGTTTCACTCCTACCTTTACTCAGTGGAAGAAAGTCAGAGAAACAGTTCTAACATAGTGTTAGGAGTTGCTACAACCCGAGCTTTTAAAAAAAATCTGCCACCGAAGTTCAGTACTCCTGTATTTTTTCCCAAGACCTTCTTGGTTTCCAAATGTCTGGTTGTGACAGTCTGCAGCTGTGTGATGCTTTGTTACCTATAACGTCATTAATTCTGCTCTTGGCATTAATTATTCCAGATGTCCCTGAGTAACTAGTAGGAATCAAGTGTTGTTTTGGACAAGAATATTTGACCAAAAATGTAAGCATAAATTAATTGTTTTAAGATTAGAGTTTACAGGCACAGAACTTCAAAAACCTTTTATGAAACAGCTATTTCTGTAGAAAATTATTTTAAACACTTAGATTTTATTAAAGACCTGTAGATAGAAGCAGGGACAGGTTATCTGGAACTCACTAGTTTTCATCAGCAGTGATGAAGAAAATTCTGGTTTGGGGTATTTGCTCACTACAGACAACTCAAAGGCTGTATGATCAAGGTGATGTTTGGTGCTTTTTTATAATTTAGGAATTATATTTATAACTGAACAAGTAGAGTTTGATTTTTATTTTTTTTAATTAATATTTTACAGTACAAATCGAGATGATCACTACGTTCGGGTTTGTGCTATTAAATTTCTGTGCTTGTTGGATGGATCAAATATCTTGCATAAGACATTTATGGAAGACATTTTCATCAAACTACTTGATAAAGTAAACTTCATTTCTCTTGGTATATAAATGTAATGTTAGTAAAATTATTAAAACAAAGTAGTTACAGTTGGCAGGATGTACTCAGTTGTTTGTGTAGCCTCTCTAGATTTGCCCAGTAATACACTTCTTTTTTTGTTATGAGACAGAAGTTAATTCAGCCAAACCAAAATAGTAAAAATTTGTCTTTCAGGATGACTTCTCTCTTTTTAGTGGATTTTTTGACTTTGCAGAACACTATCCAAATTGTAACCGTTGTTCCATTAAGAATCTTCCTTTAGGCTGCATTTTGAAGCGCTGCATTTCACTTTAATGATTGCAGACTACCTTTTGATTTGAGAGCTATTGTCTCCTTAGAAGACCTTTATAAATAGAATTAATAGAGAAGGTTGGGGTCTAGTTTTCATTTATATCCTAGCTGCTTATGCATTGGCAGTAGTGTAAAATCAGTGGTAAATTACTACAGCTGCAATTGGAACATGCATTCTGGTACTATAGAATGCTGCTTTTGGGTGGTCCTTCATTCCTGTCAATTAACTACTGGAGAAAAATTGATAATATTTGTGTTGTATGATTGATCAAGTAGGAGAAGTGAGCTTTAAAAGTGATTTCCTTACTTGCTTATATATGAAGCTTAAACATGTAAAAACAAAGTGTATTTGTATTTTAACATTAATACAGGACTTGGATCACCACATAATTTTCTTTTTAAAAAATTAGGGAAATAATTTTGGGTGTCATGTATTTTTTAAGTCCAAGACAGAGTACATAGGGAA